TTTAAAGCCTCCTCACCTTCTTTAATATATATATATATATATATATATATATAAATTAAAAAAATAGAATTCTTATTTTCTTCAGGATCAGGTTTTTGGTGTTGTTGCAAAGTAGGAAAGATAAATAGAGAATATAATTAAATACATTGTTATACAGTTGAATAAGAATAATTGGGATTAAGTTTTTGACGCCGTTGTCGGGATTAAAATTAAGAAAATTTAAAAATTAGGATTGCAATTTAGATTTCAATTAAGAATTTAATTGAAATTGAGATTGAAATTAAATTGTAATTTAATTTAAAATAAGATTTTTATTTTTGGAAAGCCTTATTTAAACTTTAAAAAATTTTATAAGAATATTTTAGTGTTGTGTTTTTATATCAAGTATCTTATTTTTGTTTTGTATTAGTGTATGTGTTATCCGCTCAATTCTTATGTTTTTATATATCTAACACCAGCTTTAATATATATATAGATTTGGCCATGTGGGTGATATAAATATAAGAAATTAAATTTAAATGTAGATATGTAAATACATAAAAAGTTAAATTTAAGTTTTCCAATACGAGCCTCTTCTTCGTTTAAAGCCAAACACTTATCCTTCATCATCCGTCTATCGCACACAGAAGGAGATGGTCACCTCTCAATCTTCCAATGCCGCCGATTCATTAGACTCTGGCCACTCTAGACTCCAAGAGCTCGGATACAAGCAAGAGCTCAAGCGCGATCTCTCGTACATAGTTCTCATTTCCGAATCCTTTTATTTATATTTTATGATCATTTCTAACTTTCTGCTTGGTTGATGGTGTTATTTCAGGGTTTTATCCAACTTCGTCTTCTCCTTTTCGATTATATCGGTGCTTACAGGAGTTACGACGCTCTACAACACCGGGCTCAGATATGGTGGGCCTATTGTCATGACATATGGGTGGTTTCTTGCAGGGTTTTTTACGACAATGGTGGGGCTATCGATGGCTGAGATTTGCTCATCTTACCCGACCTCAGGCGGGCTTTATTACTGGAGCGCCAAGCTCTCTGGAATGGATTGGGCGCCTTTTGCTTCCTGGATAACTGGATGGTATGCTTATTTCCAAAATATCTCAAGCCCTTTTTTATTATTATTATTTTTTTATATCTACTTCTGGTTTTAAATCTGTCATATTTTGAAAAATAATTTCTTTTAAGTGAAGGGAGTAGGAAAATATTATGCCTTGATTATTGAAGGGCTGTTTGGATGCAAGTAGGATTTAAATCAAGTGGAAATTAGTAATTCTTGTAAATCACATTTAGTAAATCTTGAGAGGATTAAAATCTGATATCTGTTTGGCATAATTATTTGTATATCTTTATAAATTCTAATAAACTATGTGTTTGTAAATGTGATTATAAAGTTGTGGGAGATAAAGTTTTTTTTGAAGTTACTATGGGTAGTATTTTATTTTTTATTTTTTATTTGAAAATGTCAAAGTATAATTTTCTTTCAGCTATCATATTTTAGCATATTTAGTTGTACAAACTAGCTTACCACCATTAAATTTCTGATAAGCAGTTAGAAACAAATATTCAAATGAAACTGTGTCACTAGTTCGAAAATTAAACTTTGAGAAAAGTGTCCCAAACAAATTCTTGCTTATTTTAGGATGCAGGATTTATGGGAACCATCATTAAATGTCTTAAATTTTTTTCAATAATGGGATTTAGTGAATTCTTGACTTAGGCAATAAGAGGATTTATATAACTAAAAATTTAAAGTTCTTAGAACTCTATTTGGTATGATTTAAGCCAAATTTTGCATAAATCTTGGCTAAAATAGGATACCAAATTGTCCCTGTTGGTTGTAATAATTGCTAAATCTTGCCAAGATTATGAAATTTTTTCTTAGTTAATTTTTAGTTTTTTTTGTAACCATATAAAGAATTTTGGTATGGCCTGCAAACAAAATTCAGTTATTAATCTTGTTAGGTTTTCACTTTCTTTTCATTTTGCTTTCTATTTAATGTGTCATATTTTGTGGCAGAATAATTTATTTCTTGTTTTCATAAATGATGCCCTATAGATGTCATGGACATATTGGTGAGATATTTTATTACATTTATATTGTTTAGGAGCAAGCAATGAAAGTGTCTTTTTAATTCAAATGAAAGTATCTCATTGACCTATTTATCATCTATGAATCTTAAGGAAAAAACAACAACAACAACAACAACAACAACAACGCCTTAATCCCACTACGTGGGGTCGGCTACATGAATCCTTTTTCTCCATTGCATCCTATTTAGTGTCATATTTTCATTTATTTCTAGTAAATTAAGATAATTTGTTATACAATAAGCCCAAGTCTTTCTAGGTCTACGTCTG